ATCATTTGATAACATTTAAATTATATAAAATAGAAATAAAATAATAATTATTATCCAACTCATAATAACTATATTATAATGTTCAGTAATTTGTGATGAAGAATTTCAATAAATGGATAGTCAAGATTCATGAGCTTATATAGCCATTTAAATATCGATATGATGACGAACATTCAACTTTATCCGTTTAACAAATCCCCAAACACGTTTTTTTGAATTCTGCGAATAAGTACCACCAGTGGTGTTCACAATTAGATAATTATACCCAGTTTTTTTCTTAACCTGTCAGATTTGTATTTATACCAACAATTTGAATACATATTAGTATACACCTACCTTAATTCACGTTGGTTTTAAATGTTTTAATTGCTTCCAAAATTATAGATGATGCAATTTTATGAATAATACCTATACCAAGAAGTCTGTTGTTAAATTAAATATATTTACTGTTTATGATCATGCAATTATCGAAAAGTGAAGGTATAAGTTTAGTAATGTCAATCATGATAACTAATGTAAGTACACAATATATGTTATTCATTTTTACACAGATTTAAGAACCTATTTAAATCTAAATTCTTTTTATCTTTTAAAATAATATTTATAGTATTTATCTCGATATCTTACTTTTTATTTTAATGACAAACTATATTTGGTAATTCATAATTTATACTTTTCCAAAACTATATATTGATCGCTATATGTATAAATATCCTAATATTTTTGTGAGTGAGAAGTCCACTATATTATTGATTAAAAATAACTTGGGGCGTAACTGCATAACTCTCAGATTTAGCAGTTAACATACAAATACAATGATTATTATTTACATTAATTACGTAATTTACACATATTTTATATCTATATTAAACTATGGAATATATAGCTGACAGATTACATTGATACATGGCAATAGTTAAATATTCGTACATAAATATTACATTATTGGGTCATAATATTATTCTCTTACCAGATTTTTTACGGATGAAACAACTATTTTATTGTCTGTGTTTATATCTCCGATCGTATAAATAGGATGGCTATATCACATAAATACAATTTTATATAATTTTTATTGAATTTAATTTTAAAACTTCAGAAAAAATGATGTTTACTTACTTGATGTAGATTTGATTTGAGATGACTATGCCATAGTCTAAGTTTCCTAAACACTCTAATGTGCACTGAATTTGTAATCTGTACAAATAAAAATAAAATTGATGTAAATTACATAAAAGTTTTAACTTTAAAAATTAGTTGATCACTATAATATTTTTTGAGAGTTTTCAGGAAAATAAAAATTAAAAAAATAGGTTTTCAATCATTGTTTTGGGTATTAGGCATATGTTTGTTTTATAATATGTATTATTAATAAATGCGTTCATATAATTCAGTATTATATTTTAGGATATTTGCATTTCGCGAATTTTTAGTAGGTAGGTTATATTGTTGTCGTGGCGATGGGTGCGCCTTCGTTTTGTTTCCAACACGTACGTCGAAATTCGCTGATGACACAATGTGAATTTAATGATTTGTTTCTTTTATTTATTTTGTTGTTTAGTGTTCATTCCGACCGCGACTGGTTTCTTGAACTCTACACGCTCCACCGAAGTTATTATGACTGTAATAATAATACACCTATATCTATAGCTATAATAATAGTTAATACCTAGGTATATGATATTTATTTGTGTACGCATATTATTTTACTACGCTTGTTAATTATTATTATTGCCATTTAAAATATTTTTCTCCGTCTTTCGTTGTAATACTATTATACAAGTATACTCCGCGTGTTTACCCACTGCATTATTTATAATTTTTTATTTTTATTATAAGAACACTAGACAATACCTATGCGATGTGTCGTTCAACCGGTGCACTAATATAATATTATCGAACGCATTAGCTATTTGTGCGTACGCGTATTTTAGTGCAATATCGTCCGACTATTATAATAATACCAACGTTGACACATCATGTATTAAATGATTAAAAATATTTATTTAAACGTAGTTAAACGAATTTAAAGATTGATAAAATGTTGAAACTTTTTAAAAATAATTCCGTCATAGTCCGCAATAAAGACTACTTACATTTTAGGTACAATTATCTATGGTTTTTATTCCGGTTATACTTTTTGAACCGTAAAAAAATATTTTATAAGTACATTATATTCAAATATTATTCAAGGAATTATTAAATAATTATTGTTTTGTATCATACCTATTATTGTTATACAGTTTTTTTTTAAGATTGCCAAACTTCCTATCATACAACATAAAGGCCATGACCAGTATTACTGAATGTGATATAAGTTCCACTCAAAGCTAAAATAATTTTGCCGTTTTTATAAATTGGAAATATTTTCAGTAAAAATAAAATTGCATTATTAATGTAAATTAAGTAATTAAAAGCAATGGATTGTTTTATAGTTTTAAACGATTATTGCTTTGTTGGTTTGTTCCGAATAATATAGTGTTATATCTATAAGTATATATGGGATGCAACTAAATAGTCCAATCTAAACAAAATTCAAATATTCCAATCAAAATGTCTCTGTCAAATAACCAAAGCCCCATATTATATGTATTTAACGACACTCTACATAGAGACCTAGCTATTCCAACAGTCCAAAATGTTGCAAAAACTTTCTACAAACGCTTACACTCTAAATTTCACAATCATCTGCACAATTCCTTGATTTCCGAACTGTCCACCAAATCTATTCCTGGTGATCCCAGAAGGCATTTCAAACGTACCTGGTGTCGTAACCTGCTAAATTAAAATTACTATAATTCCTACTCCTTCTTGTTATCAATCTTATTCTCTCTTACTAACATTTTAAAAACAAACTCCTAACATTAAGTGCCTCCAATGGGTGGCTTCTTATCTCCTGTCTCTCAAGTCATGTTATTTATTATCTCCATCGCATACGCTTATTGTAAAATAATAATTACAGATTATGTATTTAATAATAATTGTAAAAAAAAATAAATATCTCTAAGCCCTAAAAAATTCTACATCGTTGACATTTTAACGTGAAACCATAAAAAATAATATTTTATGCATTAATTTATAATTTTCAAGTCCTATTTTATTTTGACATTTAATATGAAAAACGCTAAAATTAAAATGTACTAATTTTACATCAATTAAAAAAAAAAAAAGACACATAATTTTAACGTTAAATGTTGCGTTTGTGAGTAAAAATTTTTGCGGCCAATCAATGCGTTAAATTATTATATTGTTGTCCATACTCAACAATATAATATAGTGTCTACTATACATGAGATGTATTATAGTAAAAAATTCTGGTTTTGTTTTTGATGTGCATTTTATGAGATAATAATAATATCAAGAATGTATTAATTATTATCTTGCGCGAAAACTTACAATCCTCAAAATTCTCAAAATAGTTTTATATATACTTATAAAATATATACGTATAATAAATGCTTAAAAATTAGAACATTTGATACACCTATTAATAGTTTCGATTGCGTTGTTACAGTGAATGAAAAAATTACAAAATAAACGTTAATACAAAAATGCAAAATGTAATATTATAATTACATGCGCGTGTATATAATATATTATTTAGTGTACAAATTATTTCATGACACGACCTGTGATTATATAAAATCAAAATTATTACAAAACGGCAAACATGAATTGATATTGTTCCTGTTTATATATATAGGTAGTAACTAGTAAATCATAAGTATGTAGTAAAACTTATTCGTTTATAAACACATTTATTTTGCAGTTATATCTGAAAAGTCACACATTCATCATAGTCGCCTGATAATCTTCGAACTAATTAATATTTAATATACTATTGAACTGAATGTTTCAAAGTATCCTTATGAAAGTTGAATAGGCCGCACTCGTTAATTCTGTGTATGGAAAAACGATCACACGTGTTACTCGACGTTTAAATAGCGATTATTTTTTTTTGCAGACTTCTCGGGTTTTTTTTTATGATTTTATATTACATAATAATATAGTTGTTCGGATTATATAGTTGCGTGTGACGGCGGTACACACTTGAAATTCGTTGGTTGTCGGTCCATTATATATATGTTATATATTTTATATATGTTGTACAACCACAAAATCTATTGCAGTACCTACTCGTTTTTTGAATGTTTTATTCAATTGTCAACGTCAGTATATCTGCTTTGGATTTTAGTAAAAAAAGTTATAGGTTCGTGCCCTATTATTATGTTTTATAGCCATGCACCTGTACTCTATTCGAGCTTAGATTTACGTATATTCATGCAAAAATATCGTCTATGGTTTTTCTTGGTGATATTTCTTTCTGGAGAAAATCGTAGCTATTCTGTTTATTTTATTCATATTTATACTAAATAATCTGGTATACATTCATGTTGGTTTTTCTTTTGAAATATATTATTTAACTATCTTAACTGATAATAAATACAAAAGTAAAAATGGCATTTTTATTATTACGTATTGATAAAAACATTAGGTATTACAAAACAACAACATGATTTTAAATTTTATACCTAATTCATAGAAAAAATTATACAATAAGGAAAGCAAGAAGATTTAATGAAAGAAGCATAATAGTGGTAGGTAGGTAATAATGAAAGAAAAATAATTTAAGGCCATAGTCAACCTGGTGCATGTTTTGATAAGTCATTAAATTATTATATAATATTTTATACATTGAACTAATGATGGTTTTTTTTTTTTTTTTATGCAATGATTTTGGATTTTAAACAGAAAGGGCTAAAAATAAAAACGTTTAGGAAAATATAAGCTTCGATATACTACTCTAGTTACGGTAATGCCTATATTACTCTTACCTAGGTATAATTTACCCGGGTTTGTACCAATAACTGATTACGAGCGCGTACCCGAATCGTCTGCTGCAGCACACCGGCGTACATCGACCGGTGCTGCGCTCTAACTGCAGTTTTGAGCGGTTGGCGGCGCGGGGACCGGCACCGGGTCAGTCCCGCCGACTACGTTATCGGTCCAGCAGTCAGTCGTTGTCTGTTCGGTCACTCGTTGTGTCTTCGTGACCGTTCACTCGTGTCGCGGTCTCGTCCGTTTAGTTATCGACGTGTTTCGTAATAAATAATAATTTCATATTTTTGTATTATAATAAGTATCCCATACCGCCCCTACAGGATCGCAACGTTTAATCATTGAATCTGTACATTTTCCATAACTAACAGTCGTAAAAAAAAAAATCGTGATAATATCGTGTTCGGTTCGTCTTTCGGTTGTTGGACGCAGTGAAATCGGATTTTTGAAAAGTTTTTTCTTCGACGACCCGTGATCACTTGCGAAAATCATGACCGTTTCTTGTGGGTTGCTGGCTCGTGCAGCCGTCGCTCTATCTCCGGTTCTGTTGCTTCTGCTGTTGTTCCACGGAACGACCGCGGCGGCGGTACAAGACTTGGTGTTTGCCGACGAAGACTTGATGAAAGCTTCTCCTCTAACGGTTGCACAATGCCGCGCCGGATGTTTGCACAAGGTCAGTGATGTTATGTTTATGTATTGTATTATTATACAGATTATATTGGAGTGTCGACGACGCAAAGACATAACTTCTTTACCTATAAAATATTTCGTGACAACTCGTCTTCCTACTGTAGTAATAATTCACTATACCTACTTTATTTACGTATTACATGCCAAAAATTCATTAAAGTATAAGGTTTTATAGAGGTAACACTGTAACAGATGCACTTTTTGACGATGGGCTTCCTCGAACGAAACGCGTTTCACCAAACTCGTCGATGGTTGTTGACAAACCGCGGCTCTAAATAACTACGTATATTGTGCACAATTTTTCCTACGATCAAAATATCCTAATAAGTAGAAATCAGATATAATTTAATCATAATATTTTTGCAATCTGGAATGTCATACGTTTACTGTACCTACCTACCTTGATTTTATTCAGAATTTTGGTTTGTTGTGTGAGTAAAAAAATTAGAATAAGCATTTTGATGAAATATTTACGTGTTTTTGAGACACGATTACGAGTTATGACAGACGTGTGATAGGAGCCTAGGTACGTAAAAATAGCTTTAAGTTAGATTTTCAATTAGGGTTTATGAATTTAATATTGAATCTGTACGTCCCAGTAATTGGTGTTTAGTTGTAGGGTAAGAAGTAAGAACTTTCAAGGTGTTAATGCAATGTAATCACATAATATTTAAAATATAATTGTAGGTAAGTAGGTCGTATATAGTATATCCCAGTACAATATAGGAATTAAAAAGTAAATACTATATAGGTACCATAAGTTTTCAGCGTTTGAATTATTAGACCTGTCATAATTAATATACAGTGGAAAACAGTAAAAAATAATCAAATTAAAAATATATATATATATTATAATATTTCAATGTTTTTAAATTTTTTTACCAAGTTCTTTGTATTTTAACTAAAATAGCACATTAATTTCTATAATTTTAAATTTTATAAGTTCAATGAATATTGTTTTGTATTTATTTCCGATTAATACAGTTTTAAAATTTATAAAATTGACTGTCAAAACGTAGTTCGATTATTTAACCCTTATATTAATTTTAATATAAAATATATTTATTTATATATAAATATTAATTATACCTATAAAAAAAAACGTATACCTAATATAAGATTTAACGTACACTCCTAATTCTTTTTCTCCGTCAAATTTGCTTATTGTACAGATTGTAAATTGTCATATTTTAAATACATGATCAAATATAATTTATAACGTAGGTATACACATTTTATTTATATAATATTTTTATGATTAGTTTATTTTTATATCGAAAATTCCAATTCTCGCTCAAAACAATAGTCCTAACTTCTAGGTAATATTCTGATGAAGAATTATTTTCGAATCTTAATTTTATTCTTGTCACGTATCGTATTTTAACGTTTCATTCAGATACTTCATAGTAACCACAGGGCACGAATAAGACGTCTAGACATGGCTAATCGATTCACAATAATTACGTATTCGTTCATTATGCGTGAAAATTCGACTAATTTTCGGTTTTTAAAAAAGAATTTGGATATCAGATAAAGAGCCAAGTAAACCTAAATAGACAATAATTATTGTCGTTTATTCGTTCGTTGTTGTATGCACTCATAATTGTCTTAGTTTATTTAAAATTTGTCTTTATATAGGTACACTGTTTTAATAAAATAATATTAAGTATATTGACATGCAAAAATGAAATTTTGATTTTTTACACGTAAAATGTTACTATAATAAAAAAAAAAGTCGTCACTATGATTATGTGTATTAACTAACACGCAATATAATAAGTGAACAATTATATTTTCCCGCGCGATGACTGAGTAGACAAATATAACCAATTAATTGAGCGGCGCTGGAGGTATTTATTCGCTTTGTTTATTGTTTTACGTACGCTTTTCGAACAAACTGATAAAAATAATGTTTGCGAATAAAAATTTATCGAGTATTATTAGAATATTAGATGTAGTATTAACGTACTATATATAGTAGTTGTAGTAGTCTGTAGTAGTAGTAATAACAGCTTTAGTCGTGAGCAAAGATTCTATCTCGCTTAATATAATATACTCTTTAACACCTATATATATATAATGCCTAGTATAATATGTACAGTGTTGTGGTTGGTGTCAGACATAAAAACCGCATTTAATGACTGTTGGGGTTTTAGCGTATTTCGAGGAACACATATGGCTTCGGATCCATTAATTATCAAAATTCGAATAGAAAACATTTTTTTCTTTTTACCAAAACTGTGAGTGTGTGACTACTGACTATATAAACCAGTGTCAGAATCTTGAAAGCTTTTTCTGCGGTATCTCATTCAGAACATATGTTACATTACTATAATTTTGAAATAATTTAATTTAATTTTAAATTTAATTGTATTATTCGAATGCTGAATTGTCGGAACATAGTTTCATGGGCATAATTATTATAAATTAATACATTATACATACATATATATATATATATATATAGTTCATAAATTCATAATATCATTATACCACATTTTAAGTTTATTAAGTATCATTGTTTGATAATTTGCAACTTATATATTTTGTAAATGTAGTTAAACATTCTAAAGTCTAAAGTAGAAACAAAAGTATTTTTATGTTTAGGTTACTAGGTACACTGATAAAATAAACCTTGGTAACATTGATAAAAATATAGATTCAGTCAACAAAATATTTATCATTAATGAAGAATTTTAAAACACACATAAATGCGAATAGGCCATACCTATATAATAGGTAATTAGTAGAGTTTATAAGTGATATACATGAAGATCAATCAAAAAATTCAAAAAAATTAAGCCACAGATTTCTCGAAATATTCAAAATGTAACTATAATATAAAGTAGTCCAACAAGTAAATTAATTTAATTTATGTTATTATTGAGGGCCATCTTTTTTTTAAATTACACTATAAATCTATCCATCTTACTGTAGGTACTTAATTAAAATAATAACCTAAGCAATAATTTATATTTTATATAATTATTTTAATTAAAAGTGTAGGTGTAGGTAGGTACCATCAAAAGGTAACGGCCTGTTGAAGTACAATCCCACAAATTTGCGGGATCGTATAGTTTTTAATAACCTTTTATATACATAAACGATTCCACAAATTTCTTATATATCTACTACTATATGAAACTGGAATATATATATACACGATTCCGTATAATTTTAAATGCAACGTTGCCATTCCAAAAACGTGTAAAAACGAAATATATGTTATTATTATACCATAATATGACGCAAATTTGCGGAATCGTGTTGTAGCCACTTGGCCACTTGAGACAAAATCATGTTTTTTAATTTTCGCGCTATAATGGCTTGAAATAAAATGATAGAATTATTACGTTATTTTAAATATTTTTTCGAAATAGTTTCTTTAAAAATAAAGAAATTGAACTTTATATAAAAATAAGTGTAATTTGACACATTTCATTAGTAGTTTACATAGAAGAAGTATTGTTTTCTAAGTGATATGATAAATAAAAATAAGTTTCCAATCGGTTTAATTGCTATTTTTTAATATTCAAAACAATTACAATTTTAATATTTATTAGTTTATTAAGTTTAAATGACTTATGTGTAAGTTAGGACGAAGTAGTCCATGTTTTTTTTTTCATAAATTTAAAAGATTTATTTAATTATCTATTATAATTTTATAATTTATATTTTTACAGTTAGTATACATTATTTCAAAAACATACAAAATGATTTTTTTATGTAAAAAAATGTATATTTTGCCCCAAGTTAGTTTTAATGAAGAAAACTTGATTTTATATGAAAGTTATAAATCTGCCCCCTCTGAATTAGACTTATTTGTAGTACAATTTGAGTCAAGTAAAAAAATTAAAAATAAAATATGAATGACTTTAAGAAAAAATTCAACTTATTACTATTTTTATAAACCAAAGTATAAGACTTAGATTTTTTGTAACTGTATGGAGTTAAATAACTTAAAATTATTTACTTAAAGTTATTTACAAAAACTATTTAAAAGTGCCTCAAGTAACATTTTTTAACGGTATTTATAGGTATATAGATACATATTATTTATTAATTAAATAAATGTTTATAAATTATACTGTTACATGATAATTGATAACAGTTTCATGATCAAATTTTTCTATAAAAACTCAAAAAACTTGTTTAAGTTACTATTTTTAATGACTAGATCCACAGATTTTTATTAATTTTGATTGATTTGATATTGCAGCTAAAGATATAAGTGAGTATAGGCGTACAATTTAAAGTCGAAACTTTAAAGTTTTAATTATCGTGTATAACCTATTTTTTCTCGATTTTGTTTTAAGCTTGTAACATAAATATAATGCATATGTGTATACTCTATAATATGTATGTTATGTACATACGAAATATGTGTATAGTGTTTATAATATTTGAATTAATTTTATTTGTTAGTCGTATACGAAATATGACACTGGTTGGTGACGTGTTTTGAAAGAAAAATATCTACAACTACGAAATAATCTTGGTTTAGGATCGTCATAATAATAATAATAATAATGTAATACTCATACAGATATAATATAATGAGATACGCTGATTGTTGGTTCCTGCCCGCTCACTGCACTAGAGAAAAATTACACTTTCAATACGTTGGCACCTACGCATGGGTCAGTAAAATAAAAAGCTTTATCGGTGTGTATGCGTCTCTTCCATTCTCTCGTTCTCTTTCTGTGTTTCATTACTCTACCATCCACTAGTAATCGTTTGATTTTTCTCCCTAGTCGTTAAAAAGGCCCGTTGCAGGTGTACGTAACGAATACTAATTAATGCACTCACTATGCGTATGCATCTCCAGCTCAGTATGTTACCTGTCGTACTTGTTTGCGAGTATCCCCGCATGCGTGTATACTTATTTTGGACGCATGTCTCATTCATGCGTATAATGGATTATAAACGCGCGCGATTCGCTCTTTAGTTGTCTTGTTACCACGTGCGTGTCTTATAGATTGT